CGGGGCCCCCCCCCCCCCCCCCCCAACGGGGCCCCCACGAAAGCCGATGAATCATCAAAATAAATGACTGTTTTTTACACTTGTTCTGGTTCATCTATTGAATATTGCTACACCACCGCTACAACAAGTAAGTAATATTATGAAACAGAGCGGCGGGCGGTCAAGCGGAGGCTTGCCGTCCAAAGTTACGGGTGGAAAGGGAGCCGTTTCAGTCGCCAAAAGCGGTCATTTTCGGCGTCGCTTTCACAGGTCCTCAGATTCTAGTTGTAAACATCGAAGGCGGCAGTGGAGCCAGTGGTTGCAACTTCCTGAATTGGATAGATTTCTTAAACAGGTTAGTTTTCCGGAGGGTCTCGGAGTAGCAATATTCCGCAAATCCCAAACAGGCAGTTGAAACCACCACATTGTCGGCTCTTGCCGAGGAAGAGGTGCGGTTGGCTTACCCGATTCCGGCTCCCGATTGTTACGCCAATCCTCATCCTCCACACAGACGACTTCCCCAAACTCCGCGTAAATGGCTCACTCCAGATTCCCCAGATCCCAATTCTAGGGTCCACCGGAAACTGGCTTCATTGGTTGAGGCTGCGTTAATCGTCGCCCATGATGCGGTTAACTTTATGACAGAAGGTGGCAGGCCCTATGCCCTGTTCTACAGACTATAAACATGGCGCGAAGACCCCCGGCTAAGTGGTTGATTTTTCCATAGCCCCTTGCATTGAATCCTTTATACCCCAGATCGTGATTTTGACTTCCGCACCAGCATGCGTACTTGGTATGGAAGGGGTCGATCCCTTCAGGTCGCTGTCACGTCTTGCTGTCTTGTGGCCTTCGTTTTGTTTGGTTACGATCAAGGTGTGTTTAGTGGCATTATTGGAAATGAAGACTGGAGGACACAGTTCGGCCACCCCAATGACTCGGAAGAGGGTATCATTGTCAGTTGCTATAATTTGGGTTGTCTACTTGGGTGTTTGAGTGAGTTGTATGGAGATCTCATCGCGATGGGCACTTACTGACACGACTAGTTAATTTCTGCATCGGCGAAACACTCGGCCGCCGAAGAGCTATTTGGCTTGCAATGGCCGTGGTAATTGTCGGTGCGATCTTGCAGACCACAGCCTTCAATGTGCCCCATTTGGTCATTGGAAGACTGGTGACTGGTGCGGGCACCGGCTTGAAAACCAGCACCGTCCCCATGTACCAGGCCGGTAAGCCATGTCTAATTCCGTGAAACCGTCTTATACACAAACAACAAATACTCATCACTCTTTCTTCTGGCAGAGATGTGTGAAGGTAAAACCAGAGGTCGTCTCATTTCGTCGGAAGTTCTCTTTACCGCCGTCGGAATTGTCTTAGCTTACTGGTTCGACTTTGGTATGTCGTTTGTCGGCGGACCTATCGCCTGGCGACTGCCTATTGCCATGCAGATGGTCTTTGCCATCTTCGTCATCGTGTTGGTCTTTGGCCTACCGGAGTCCCCTCGATGGCTCATGAACCACGGACAGGAACAAGAAGCCATGGAAGTCCTCTGTGCTGTGTATGATCGTGAGCCAGAAGACGAGTTCATCGTCAATGAGCGTAAAGGAATCTTGTCCGCCATTGAACTGGAAGATTCTATGAGCAAGCAATCGTTCTGGAAGATCTTCCGGAACGATGAAGTGAAGACTGGGCAGAGAGTGCTTCTTGCTTGGGGCATTCAGCTCATGAACCAGGTTGGCGGAATCAACTTGGTTGTATACTTCGTGCCTAGTATGTATCAATCTTTTGCTGAAGAAATACCCGTACTAACCTACATTAGCTGTGCTGAGAACCAATGTCGGGCTAACTAGCCAACTCTCCCTGATCCTGGGTGGCTGCATCCAAATCATGTTCATGCTTGGCTCCCTCCTACCAGCATTCAAACTGGACAGCATGGGTCGCCGCAAGACAATGATGATCGGCTCTTTTGGTCTAGGAGTATGCATGATGATGGTAGCAGCACTTCTTTCCCAAGTCAACCGACCAAACGGAGAGATATACGCCGAAGCATCCGTCGCGTTCTTTTTCCTGTATATGCTCATCCATGGCATGTCCATCAACTCGGTACCATGGGTATACGTGCCTGAGATCCTGCCTCTGGAAGCCCGAACTAAGGGAACAGCGATTGGTGTCAGCTCCAACTGGCTTTGGAACTTCACCGTTGTCATGATCACGCCTGTGATTATCAATCGCATCCAATGGAAAGCATACTTGATCTTCATGATCACTAACTTCCTTTTCGTTCCTGTGGTCTACTTCTATTACCCTGAGACTAGCAACCTGCGTCTTGAAGATATTGATTTGATCTTCGCTCGGGGCGGGGACCCAGTTGATCAGGCGAGGAAAATGGCGGCGGAAATCAAGGCTTATGGAAATATCCAAATTGAGCAAGAGGACGACAAAGTTGCTAGCAGTGTCGGGGTGGAGCACGTTTGAATTTTCTTGCTAAATTGCATACAAACAATCTGTGGATTGCCATGGACTCGGACAATTTTTGATTTTCATCTTTTCAACTGTTTTTCATGGAGCATTGATACAAATACCCTTACTTAGGTTGCTACTAGTTTATTATCTTTCCCCTTATGATCGGGTTAGATTTAGAATCTTATAGTAGATAATCTAGCTGAGGAATATTTAAAGCTATTGTTACCAGCCAATGCTTTCAAGAAAAAGAGGGCATCCAATTCGAAATACTAAATACCAAGGGGAAAAGGACGAAGAGGATTAGTGAACATGAGGTGCATCCTGTTGGGGAGTAGTTAAGCTCCCAACCTTTGCGTGATCGCATCCCAGTGAACCAGTCCTGCACATATGCTAATCTAGCGTGAGGACCAGAAATTTGATCCTGTTTAAGGACACCGACATAGCCGCGACGTCAGTAGGTAGCAAGCGATTTAATCTAATAGCATCAGCAGGCTGTCAAATGAAGTTGTCAGCCAATAAAATGCTCGTGGAATGATCACCATCCTCAATTATTTTTAATATGCCACCTCTCTAGGTAAAACAAATAGTATGACAGTATGGGTGCTTTCCAAGCATTTCTTTACCTTTTTAGAGGCGAAAAGCCGTTCATTGGAATGTATAGGGAGCACATACCACGATCCTAGATCAACATCATATGGACCCTTTGGGACTGGAATGTGCGATCCGGCAACTGATTGGGAGAAGATTGGATTTTATGACACTTGCCAGCCCCCGAGTATGACGCAGAAATTCCCCTTCGAATTTTAGACAAGTTTCACGTTCAGCATCATAGCCATTCCAGTCATTCTTCCCCGCCATCCTATTACCGCAGCGCGCCAAAGATGGAATGAGAAAGGTGATAGGCCGTGCTACGAATATAAGTGTAGATAAATATCTTGCCTACGTTTTGCAATCACGCAATTTGATCCCATCAAAGTCTATAAGTTCACGAATATCAAAATCACAGCAAACATGCGTTCCCTTACCACGTCATTTATCTCCCTATCCCTGCTATCAGGCACAGTCCACGCGGAAAGCTTCGCTCGTGTCTGGACACACTTCTACCCGAATTGCCCTGGCGAGGCATTCAGCAAACTCGACACATACGAAAACTACCAGGTATCCACCCCATCCCAAGACATCACCGTGGACAACTGCAAAAGCCTAGCCGTCCCCTCGTACGAGCAGAACCTTGTCGACGCCATCTCTGTCGACGCCGAGCTCCTCTCCGACAACCACGACCTCCCCTTCCTGTCAGGTGGCAGCGGCTGCAACATCACCGTGCATGAGGTCCCAGAGTGCATCGACCCGCCCCTAATCACCAAAGAGATCCGAAATGGCGTCGCGATCAGCCAGTGCGAGTCGCGCCAGTTCTCCGCTTACGGCCAGGTCTGGGTGAACCTTGTTTGCGACAGCGAGAGCCCTCTCCACAACGAGAATATCCCTACCCACGGGACAAAGGAGAACGATAAGCAAGCAGACACTCACCAGTCCATGCCTACTGCGCAGCCCGATGCTCCTGTGCGCGGTGAAAAGCATACTACCATCGAGGATATCAACAATATCCAGACGCCAGGGTCGAACTCGGATTCCTGGCGTTCGTCCGAGGTTACGCATAACCAGCGTGAGCCGGTCCAGGAGGGCCGTGTTAATGATGCCGGTCATGCGCAGAGTGAGCAGATCGTGCATCACATCATGGAGTTATTGAAGAATAAGACTTCGCATATCGTCACGGGCAAGCATCATGCTGCCCACCCGAATCTTACGCTGCATCACAATGGCACTGCCCCGGGTAATCGCACTGTGATGTCTCGTCGGCGTTTATCTGTTTTGCGAAACAGGGCTGCTCGTTTAATTTAGGGTCGGATTTGAAAATGTTGTATATCTGAGCGTTTGATTTATGATGAATTAAAATCATTTGTGTATACCAGATCAGTTAAAAGTCCACTATGATATGTGAAAATTGCTCAATTATCTCGATTACCTGACCTTTTTATACTAAAGTAATATCTAGAAGGGATGGATGCGATATCCCTTGTGCTCACAGAACCCAACTTGGATTAGTGTAGATCAAAGGATTCAATGGGTATAGCCTAATCAAACAGACTACAGGACTGTATGACTTTGTTATTTCATCCAGATTTCATTATAGCAGAATATTCTGGTCTACTGACCAAACGAAATGAGATTTCGTGTCCATTGTAGACATATCAGACTGTACAACAGCAAGACTCTCTATGGTACCTCCGACATTGATGTAACAGATCCATCAACAAGCCATACCCATGATTCCCAAGTTAATATTCTAACTGGTCTCTTCGTTGGTATCTTGAGCTGCCTGCTTCCGACGGGCAGCCTCCTTACCAGCGAAGCTGAACAACATGCCAAGATCATAAATCACTTTCAAGCATCCTGCGATAATGAAGGACGCACCGAAATGGCCATTGCGCGACAAGATACCCGTCAACAGGGGACCCATGCTCTGGGCAGTAGTCTTCACGACATTCACTGCGCCCATGATAGCAGTGCGCTTATCTGCTGGGAGAGCCGCAGCAAGGAATGCGGAGCGAGGCGCCACATCCATGTTCTGGGAACAGGCTCGCAGAACCAAGAAGGTCAGTGCCAGAGGCAGGCTAGATGGGACGGAGATGAGAGCCAGGCAGATCGCCGATGGCAAATGAGTGAATACCATAGTCTATCAAAAAGTTAGAAGTCGCTCAGTTCCCCGAGTAAGAAGAATATCTTACCTTGACATTACCAATTCGTTTGGCGAGGGACGAGGCCACGAGCATGGACGCCGCAGAGATAATGTTCGTGGTGAAGAAGATAGTGCCGAGTCCACCTGAAGGCAGATTGAACTTGCCCTTGAAGAAGTAGGTCATCCAGGACCTGCCCAATTAGCACTGTAGCCGGGGAGAGTTGGGATCACACTCACAGTGAAGCCAATCCAGATGCAAACGAGTCCACTCCAAATAGGATGAATAGACGGATAACCAGAGACCACAGGTCCTTCTCGATGGACGGAAACAGCCCCTTCTTCCTGGCGGCCGGCTCGGCATCCTGTTCTACAGGTTCTGCCAGCAGCGGTCGGGTTTCAGAGCTCTGTTCCTGTGGCTCTTCTTTCTGAACCTCGACCTTTCCACTCAGACCCAAAGTGAAGATTAGCTTAACGACGCCAACGCCGGCATAGACGAAGAAAATGATGCGACAGGCGGGAATGAAGGCCCATCCGTGGATTGACTCGAGAGAATTGATGATCCAACCACAGACAAGCATGCCCGTGGCCGATCCAGCAGTTCCAATCAAGGAATACCAAGCAAAAACATCACTCAAAAGCTCATGTGGGGTGAGATGAGCCAAAGTGGATTCCTCCACGGCGCGGAACGGGCCAATTTCATTTCCACTAAGAAATTAGCTCAGACAAAAATTTAAAAAAATAAAATAAAAAGGAGACGAACCTCGGACTGATGACACCAAAGACTGCAGCGGCCAGTAGAATCCAGAAGTTTCCAAACAGCGCGAAAATGACTCCACTGCCAGCCATCAGGATTGATCCGAGCGACAACACCGCCTTGCGACCCATAGCATCGGCAAATAGAGTGAGGAAGAAGCTAATCACCACATCTCCGACCAGCGTGAGAGTCATAAACAAGCCAATGCGATCATCTGAAATCCCCATGGCCGATAGATATGATGCCAAAATCAAGGTCGAGCCGCCGTACGCGAACAGGCGGACGAAGCGTTGCGCGCAGAGGAGCTTCACGTCGAGCGACGACCGCCACATGGTGGTTAGGCCCAGCTCTTCGAGAACATGGGCCAAGTAGCGCGCCGGTCGCGATTGATTCTCCATTATCAGATGGTTGAAGGAAGAAAGTTGAAGTTGAAGACAACTTTTAACTCCGAGTTCGGACTCGGGGTTCGTCCCGGAGCTAAGCTTTCTTGGACTAAAGACACCTTGGAATATATTATCTCTCTTTTCGGCAAACAAAATTACTACAAATATTTCTCAATCACTGCTCAGTCTTGGGAGGCCATTTCACCCGTCGTTCCGCCCGCACATACAAGTTCGTAGGACGAATCAACTGGAACATGGGATCGTACTCGACCGGCCCATCATTCTCTTTCGTGAACTTGTACCGGTATAACAATTTGGGCAAGAACACTTTGACTTCCTGCAATGCAAAGTTGAACCCAATGCACATACGGGGTCCAGCAGCGAAGGGAATATACGCAGTCTTATGACGGTTTTTGACTTCCGCTGTATCCCAACGGTCTGGATCAAACCGTGCTGGGTTAGACCAGACTGCTGGATTGTTGTGAATGTGGTGGAGGGCAGGGATGATGATAGAGTCTTCGGGGAGCTTGTATCCTCCTGGAAGAATCATGTCGACCTTGGCAGTGCGCGCAGGCTGGTATGAGGGGTTATGACGGCGCTGGGTTTCTTTAATGAACTTGTCCAAGAATGTCAGACGATCCGTCAGGTCTGCAGTCATTAGGGTATCGGCGTCGATATCGTTGTCAATCAATTCCTGCAGGAGTCTCTCCTGCATACCGGGATAGTTGACTAGCGAATAAAGCAGCCACGACAACAATGAGCTAGTAGTGGTAAACCCAGCGCCGGTGGCTACTACTAGTGCCTCCATCAGACTTGTCTTGGGCAATTTTTCGCCCTTGTTATCGGTGGCGCGAATAATATAATCTACCTAACGTCAGCTCGAGCCCTCCAACTTCTAGGTATTTCACTTACCAATCATGTTAGAGGCCTGCAATGCAGCATCCTGCAACGGGAGATCCTCGACTCCATTCTGAGAAGCATTCTGAATTGACTCGTTGACCATCTCAACAATACGATAGCGAGCATCCCGTAGGCGTTTCGGGTCACCGAAAGGCAACTTAGCGTACCAATCACCACGGGCGGTCACCTTCTTGTTCAGTTCCAGCGACTCGGCAATTCGGCACACAAGTTCATGGGGTGGTGCATCCACGGCAGAGAAATGCTTAAAGTCCATGCCGAGAACCAGCTTACCCACGGCCTGCGCACCGAGCTTCAGCATGTACGGGTAGACGTTCCAAGCCTCGCCGCGCTCGTCTAGCTCGTCGAACACACTGAATGCATCCTCGACGGTCTCTTGCATAGTGGGCGCGTAGTGGCGCACTGCTTTCGGTCCCAGCGCTGGCGGGAGGAACTTGTGTGCTGCGCGCCATTCAGGTGTATCGGTATCACCTAAAAACACACCGGCCTGTTGGTTCTTAATCGGGTGTAAAGGGTGCGCCTCGTTGATCCTCTTGGTAAAGAAATCAGACTCGGCAAAAACGATGGCCGATAGCTCGGGGTCATTGGTGTGGTAGACCGTCCGGCCCATGTTGGTGGTTTGAATGATGGGTCCATATTGGTCAAATAGACGCTGGTGGTTTCCTAGATGATCGGGATAGACCTCGAAAAAGTTTCCCACGAATGGCAGTCCTGTAGGACCAGGAATCTCCCGTACTGCCTTGCCTTCTATTGAGATGGCGATGGGTTCTTCATTGGCGAGGATCTCGGAGGGAGTGGACAGCATCAAGTCCTCTGACTGGAATCCGATGCCTAACTTGAGAGTTAGAATTATTGAGACAATGAGCTAAAAGCTTACCATTTGGCTCAACGATGGCAAATTGACCAGCAATGAGGAGTTGAAGCCCTTGGTAGTCGACTGCTGTCTCTACCTCGATTGGGCGAGCTAAGGTGATGGCCTCGCCCAGCAGGTAGAAATGTTTGACAACCATCATGAATTGGGGATGGAAATAACAAGATGTTCTCCCTCCCTTTAAGGGCCTGCTCACATTTATAAGGATCTAATTATCTGAGCCATTTGAAACTGCATAGTCGACTCCACTATTCATAAAATCGCTTCCCGACTCTTTTCCATTTCATAATAGAGGAAGAGGTATATCTCTGAGAGCCTCGGTTCAAAATATCTCTCAATTAAGATCCACAATGATGTCGGATTGCAAAAATAGTAGAGTAGACGTTGTTTCGGGTTCTGGCCGACGGCATTGGCGCGAATATGCCGTCTCCACGGCCCCACTGACAGGATACAGATTTTATTTTATTTATTTTTTTCGGGATGCCGAGGCATTTGTTGCCAGTAGGCTGGTTTTATGTTTTATGTACATATCGGAAATGCTAAGTGGACTATTGCGATGTTCCAGGAGTACTTTTGGTGGTATTAAATTAAGACTCTGTCCTTTTGGCTTTTTCGCAAAATCATTCATTCACAATGTCCGTTTCAGGAACAAAAGAGCTAAAGGCTGAGTGGAAGGCAGATGTCGAGCCGCCTGAGTATACGTTGAAAGATGTGGCAGCACACAACACTAAGGGTGATGTCTGGATGGTCATCCATGGACGAGGTAACAATCTTTTATAATACCAGTCGAAAAGCCTGTGCTAACATTGCAACAGTCTTTGACCTCACAAAATATCTGCAGGATCACCCAGGTGGTGCAGACGCTCTCATCGAGGTAGCCGGCACTGATGCCACATCTGCCTATGAGGATATCGGGCATTCTGAAGACGCCCGCGAGATCATGCAGCCATTCCTGGTGGGCACTCTAAAGGATGCTCAGCAGTACGTCCGGCCTAAGGCAGTGCGTGTGGTGTCCCAAAAAGCACATAAAGAGGCCGGCTCCTCCTCATCGACCATCAAAACGATCACTTGTGCTCTGGGTGGACTGATCCCAGTCTTCTACATCTTCAGCACAGGCAACAACCTCACGAACAACCTGCGATCCATCTCCCAACTGATCCCTCATCCACTGAAGAACCTACGACTGCCTCACGGAGGCTTCGTCAACGGCTTTTTGGCCGCTTCTGCTATATCCACAGCTGTGGGAGTAATAGTAGCTCAACAGGCCGGCAAATTCACCAAGATCGACTCTGGGTTCATGCGCTTCCCACCTCATATGAAGTCAAAGAAGGCGATTCGTGCCGATCCGCATCTGACACGCGGTTTCCTCGAGCCGCAACAATATCAACGCCTGCCACTCGTTGAAAAGACCGAACTAGCAACGAATGTCTACCGTTTCGTCTTTGCCTTGCCGACCACCACAGACGTGTTGGGTCTGCCCATTGGCCAACACGTCGCCATCAGAGCCGTGATCGATGGAACGACCGTCACTCGCTCATACACCCCTACCTCCAACAACATCGACCGGGGCCGCATTGAACTCGTGATCAAATGCTATCCTGATGGTCTATTGAGCGGGAAATATCTGGCCGGATTGACCGTGGGCGAAGAAGTCGAGTTCCGCGGGCCCAAGGGCTCCATGCGTTACACAAAGGGTCTTTGTCGCAAGATTGGCATGGTGGCCGGCGGCACAGGCATCACACCTATGTACCAGCTTATTCGGGCAATTTGCGAGAATGACACCGATACGACAGAAGTTAGTCTGGTCTACGCGAACCGTAGCGAGTCTGACATACTCCTGCGCGAAGAGCTTGAACGGTTTGCGCGCCAATACCCAAAGAACTTCAAGCTGTGGTATATGCTGGACTCTGCGCCCGAGGGCTGGGCCTATGGATCGGGATATGTGGACCACGCAGTTTTGGCGGAGCAGCTCCCTGCGCCATCGCCAGACACAAAGGTGATGCTATGTGGGCCGCCCGGAATGGTCAATGCCACTAAGAAGAATTTGGCTGCGTTGGGCTTTACCAAGCCAGGGGTCGTGGCAAAGATGACGGATCAAATCTTTTGTTTCTAGCCTAATATAGTAATTGCCGAGGTTAAAAACCGTTCCCGTTGAAATTGGTTTAGTTTTGTTGAGTTGATGGGATATCGGCCCCTATGGCAGTGCATGGCCGCCAGTGCGCCATATCGTATTTTTCCATATTAAATTTGACCGTCTTCACACTGCTAATTTACTATTACCTCCTTCGTAGTAATTAATTTCTACCATATCAACTTCAATGTTCTATAGTGTCACTTTCTATGATATCTCAATTTTAAATGTTATATAGTTATAGAAAAGTTCTATTTTACAAATTAAACCTTTTTTGGCCCTTTTCTGCTATCTGCCCAATAGACTGAGAAGGTGGAGAAAATATCTATATAACTACCTAGATATCTCAAAAGACTACCGAAGGAGACTACTAAAAAAGACCACTAAAAAGATACATAAAAACCTACTGGCGGCTATGCACCGATGTAGGCCCCTGTTGCCGAAACAAAGACAAATCCCGAGAGTTTGACTGGTTGGAGCTTCCAATTTGTACGTATAGATTGTATAAATTAATGTACATAACTAAACACTATATCAGTCAGGTTAGGGGGGAAATGGAATTCCATTTTCCAATCTGGATTAGAGACACTCCCATCAATTCGTATTATCAGTCTTCGTAGCCTTGCGTTTCCTTCGACGCCTGTGTGACCTCCGGCGCTTCTTCACCCTCGATCTCTTTCGTTCTCGAATCATGAATCGAACCCGTTGTCCTAGTCTTCCTTCTCTTGTCTCGAACCCAGTCCCCAAGTTCACTTCTGTTGATATCCTCACAAGGGGTGTGATGATTGACTTGATATCCTTCGAGCCAGAGTATCGAGGAAAATATCGAGGAAGATCAGACGATATGGTAACAGCCTTATTCTTCTTGGACGATGAATTGACAGTACGAACAGGCTCTGGAGCTGGCGTAGGATCTTGCGGGTCAAGTTGGACTTTGGCCGATCGTGGAGTCAATGGCCGGGACTGCAAATGACATAGATAAAGATAGTACAAGAGCAGTAGCAAGACCCCGACACCGAGGATAGACCCCGCTATCGCGCCTTTATTTCCATTGGATAGTCCGCTGCTTCTGGCCGAATGGATTCGCTCAGGCGCAGGAGTTGCTGCTCTATGGACCACGTGGATGACAGTCGTGGATGGAGTGGACACTGTCAATGTAACCAAGTCCAACGTTGGCCAGGGTTTAGTATTTCCTAGAGTAATGACCGTCACGAGAGTGCTGTCGGCCTCGATAAGTGTCTGGGTAACCTCGCGAATCGCAGGTGCCATTGCCCGACACAAATTGAACTGACATGATGGGCTTAAGTGTCTATGGCAGCATCACTTATTTCGCGCCACGAACACGTAGGGTATGCACGAGCGGATCAAATGGGTCTTCCGGTATATGTGATAAAGCAATCGAATTGGTAACAATCGTATCTTCTGACTTAGTTATGCAGCTTACGCTGTGCAATCACAGGAGTATCACCAGGATTGGTGGAATAGTCTGCAAGTGTCGCTGTGAGGCCAGCTCACCGAATCTTGGCGCGGGGATCCTGATGAGCACGTAATTAAGACGAACGCCTTGTGTTGGGGTTTCCCCCCCGCAAACACTACTAGGGGTCTCATGTCGCCTGGATTTATTTATCAAAACGCCGACTACCCTTATTCATTAGACAGACATGCAGCGTCATCTCGAATCAATTCCTGCCCAAAGAAGAACAGGCCCAGGTGTATGGTCGCCTTGCCCGCACGGACGAACCTTCAAGACTCCATATCAGAGAGGCCTCGACTCGTCGACCTTCGGAGGGAACTCATAGTATTGAAGATGTGTGGCATGAAATCTCTATGAATTTACAGCTTCGCGCGTGCAGGAGCAAAGTTCGACCCAGCGCCCTGGCTAATAGCCTCGACAATAGCATCAACACTATTCAAAATCCAAGTATTCCCCTCATCGCTAGCCAACCACCGCGCAGCCTCTTCCCCCTCGACATCATTCACCCACGAGCCATCCTCAAGCGCCTTCCGCAACCCAAACACATGCGAGATGACCTGGGGACCAACGCCAGACTGAGCGCGCAAGCACGAGATAGCAATCATAGACGTCAGAATCCGCCCAGCAGAGGCACCAGTGCTACGGCTACGCTCTGGATCAGATAACAGGGCACCGTAGTTGCTATGTAGGATGTGCACCGGCAGGTCGGGGTGTGAGTCGGCCAGTTTATTATATAGCTTCTTCTCGAACGGTCGATAGATAGAATCCCAGAGTGTGTGGCCGCGCTCACTGATCGCGGTGATGTTCTCCGGGTTTGGCGCGCGGGTCGGGGTGCGGGAGAGCCTGCTGCCGACTGAATCTGGCAGGCTAGCTCTAAAGGCGTTGAGGCAGTTTATAGTGCGTGGGATGCCGTTGAAACTGATGCATTTTAGACCGACCTCGCGCATAAGCTCGGCGGCCTCGACTTGCTTGTCGGGGTTAGTGCTGGCGAGTTCGTAGAGGGCTGCGAGGGACTCCGGGGAGTTCATGGTTATTGTCGCTGCGGTCTGGTATTTATGTTAGATCGCGTTTAATCCTAAAGCTGTTTACTCACCGATAGCGCGACCCATGATTGCTGCGAGATCTGTTTAGATTGCGCGGCCTCTTGGATCTTTCGGTAGACCGAGGTTATGTTTGCTGGCGCGGGGACGGTGGATGGCCGGGCGGCAGGAGCATTGATTAATGCCTTGAGGCTAGTTGAAAGTCTAGCAGACATTTCGGATGATGAGCTCTTGCACCCCGGGTGTGGATGTCTTGCCATTAAAGAATGGTGTTGAAGGCCTCTCTTCCCGACCTCGGTCGGGTTTGGAAACAAACGGAGCTCAGAAGTGAACACCGAGAAATACCGGGAGGGGACAGTAATCTTATAGTAATATGACAGTAATATGACCGGAATGTTCCGGTAATATTACCAGTGGGTCACATGTGCAGACTTGGAAATCCGGGGATCGCGGGGAAACAAAACACCCGAACGCAAACTGGAAGCTCTGCCATTGGTGAGAGCCTTGGGGCTGGAGAGGAGCTCGGACCCAGAAATGCCAGCCGAAGGGGCTCTCCCTGGCTGTTTGTAGGCTATTTCTTTCAATTCTTTTCCTCTTTTTCTCCCCATCCTACGCTGCGACAGATAGGAGAGTAAGATCGTTCGTGCGTCGCCAAGCAACAACCCAAGTCACCATGGACCCACCCAAGTCAAGAGTCTTAGAACTTGAAGAGGCGAAGTCAGCTCCCCTCGATCAATATGGCGACCTCGCGCGCCAGCAGAAATTGACACGGAAGATATTATGGAAGTTGGACATACAGTCAGTTGAGTCAGTACAATCACCGCGCGCTCGCTAATACCTTCCAGTATTCTTCCTATTCTAGCTCTCCTTTTCCTCATGTCATTTTTGGACAGAACCAACGTCGGCAATGCGAAGATTATCGGTTTAGAAGCGGACCTTTCTATCACAGACCATCAGTATGATGTCGGCTTGGCTGTGTTCTATCTCACCTATATTTGCAGGTGCGTTGTGTGCCATTGGAATCGAACGCCAGAGGCTAATTAATATGGAAGCGAGCTGCCGAGTAATCTTGTGCTCAAGAAAGCATCGCCGAAGATTTGGCTGCCGTTCTTGACGGGTATTTGGGGCATCATCACCATGTGTCTAGGATTTGTGCAGAATTTTGCTGGTTTCGTCGCCGTCCGGGCTTTGTTGGGTATTGCGGAAGGGGGTCTTCTCCCCGGCATGGTATGTTTCCAATGTCATGACGAAATTGAGACTGGTCATAACTAACAAAGAAAAAAAAAGGTGTTATATCTATCTTCTTTTTATAAACGAGGCGATTTGGCTCTGCGGATTGGCTTGTTCTACACGGCTGCTTCCCTGTCGGGCGCATTTGGAGGTACACGAGCATCGATTACGTTGGTTTTTCAGTAGATGCTAACAAAGTAGGGCTCCTCGCTCGTGGGCTGGCTGAAATCGGGCCTCGGGGGGGCATAGAAGGTTGGCGCTGGATTTTGATTATCGAGGGCCTTTTGGTACGTTGAAAGTGATTAAAATTAAAACAAAGTTTTTGTCTGACTGTTCATCAGACATTTGTCTGTGGAGTGTTGAGTTTCTTCGCCCTTCCAAATAGCTTGCAATCTGCATCTTTCTTGACCGCGGAGGAAAAGGAATTTGGGGGGAAAAGGCTGGTGCTTGATAATCCCGGATCACGGGAAGGGTAAGCTTTTCTGACCCGCTAGATGAGAAAGCTTGGCTAAAGCAAACAGATCCTTGGCGTCTGAGGCAGAATCGTTCAAATGGTCCGAAGTGCGCCGAGGTATCTTGGATCTACAAGTGTGGCTCTCTGCCTCGGCATACTTTGCCATTCTCTCTGGGTTATACTCCTTTGGCTTGTTTGTATGACTCTCCTATTGCTGTACCTTGTGAAAGCCACTGACTGTTCCTAGCTGCCAACGATTATCAAAAGCCTTGGTTTCGCCAAAGATGCCAACGAGGTTCAGTTGTGGTCTGTGATACCTTATGCTGTCGCAGCCGTACTTACAGGTTTGTCTATCTTTGAAAAGTCTCATAAAATACTTACCCGTCTTTTAGTCGTCGTTGCCATCGTCTCTGATCGTCTCCGTCTGCGAGGTGTGGTGATGCTCTTCACTCTCCCAATCGCTATCATTGGATATGCAGCCATCGCTAATATTGACTCCCCTCGGGTTCAATACGGCATGACCTTTCTCATGGCAACCGGCCAATACGCCAGTGTGCCGTGCATCTTGGTGTGGTTGTCGAACAACTCCGCGGGACATTATAAAAGAGCCACTACGTCAGCGCTGCAGCTGGCAATTGCAAATGCTGGGGGGTTTCTTTCGAGTAAGTCTCCCTCAGACACCACTAATTTCTTTATACATATCTCTAATATCAGTACTATAGCTTTCAACTATCCATCTCGAGATGGGCCCCTCTTCCACCGTGGACATACCATTGTCCTTGGGTTGCTGGTGTTTGCATGGTTTATGTGAGTATATTTCTCATTGACTTAAGAGCTATCACTGATTTACATAGGATTCTACTTAATGTGCTCTACTGCGCAAAGATCAATCGAGACAAAAGGAAGGGTAAGTATGATCAATACGCAGGGTATAATGATGACCGTAACCCGGAGTTTATGATGGTTCTATGAGTGATGAGAATGATACCTACTAGAAATAATTGACTGTTCTACAAATATACTGGTTGCAGGTTCAGGATGGTAATCGTGGTATGTCCACCAGTTACTTCTTAAATGTAGCGTTTGACTCTGCACAAATCGTGTTATACCCACCACTGCCACCAGTGGTGAGGCTTCCAATCCTGCCTAGTTGCACCGCGTAAATCATCTGTATTGATCACATCAACACCCTCATGCACAAGTACATGCCAAACATGGTTCCGCAGTCCAACCGGCCAGGTGGGAGTTCCCCAGTACCGCACCTTTAGTCCCATCATGTGAGCTGCACGTACCTGACTCCGAAGGACAGCCAGCTGAATATCCGACAGACGGCTAAGAGAGAGAGACCCAATAGCCGTGCGAAAGTCTGCTGATGCGTAATAGCTGTTGGACGGGTTATATGTGGAATCCATTGACTTGTTATCGTCTGTCATTATTTCGGTGGGAAAGGTCAAGTTGTCAAGAGGTGCATCGTAAAAGACGTCGCGATAGGTCGTGTTCTCTAACAACAGGTGAAAAGGCATGTCTCCGCTAACCACCACAGTAATCGGGCCGTATACAACATCAGAGCCATTAAAGTGAGTCAAGTAGCCCTTTTCACGAAACGGGTTCAGCTGTTCGACAAGAAGAGGCCAGGTCCGATCACCCTCGGTTTTGCAATCAATCAGCAAGGTCAGAGTCTGCTTTGGATCATTGGAAAATGGTCCGGCCATTTCCTGACTCACGACCTTCGGCCAGTTGCGAGAAGGAGGTGCATTGTGTGTGTCAAGCATCTTCAGTAGCGGGTCAAGATAGAGGCTCTGCAGTGTTCCTCGGAGGACTGTGGAAGGTGAATGGCCAACTAGAATCTCGTTTCCCCATGGCCAAACGTCAACCTCGACGCTGATACATCCTGCATGGAGTGCTGAGCGTAGGGGAACGTGACGCCAGTAGTCGTTGTGCGAGTGGCATGGTATGGGGATGACACCGTAAGTGGACGAGTCGGACAACCTTGAGGAGCGTTCACCGGGGAAAATAACCAACTCAAAATCATGTGGAAAGAGATAAAGAAAGCATTCCCATGCAACGGCGAGCATACCACTAAAGTGAGACATTGTTAGCTCAAACGTGTCAAGTGTGGAGAACAGCATCCCAAAGCCAACAATTCACACTCTTAGGTAGACTCAACCACACGTACAGAATGAAAATCAGAGCCCAAAGAGGTCGCTGTACTGCTCGGCAGAAAATGGCTCTCTTAGAGCCTGTGTATGCGATGCAGTCCGAGTGAGAATATTTCCGGAAAGAGAACCGTCTGGGCTTGTTCAATACCATCACTTCGTAGTCGGAGACTAGGAGTGCTTCATGCTCGGGAATGGCCTTCAGAGCAGATGGATGAAATATCATGGCAAAAAAGGAAAAAGAGTGACAAGCTTTTGTAAGGGCTGGGCATAGGTAAGCTTATTTTATGGTTACCTGCCCCCACGGACCCATGAATGCCGATGGACTCCGAGAAATAAAAATACTTCTGCCTAATTATGGGGCTGAAAAGTCGTATAATTAGGCGAGAGCAAATGAAGATAGATGATTTCTAGCTATCCATGAAAGAGAGGAGGAACAAAGTCCTTTGTTCCAATTTATCATCTTCGCAGGTATCTACGTCAATCCTGACTTCTCATTTATTCCATAATTTCAATGGTATCGGCCGTGCCATGGTAAATTTGGCGTCTGGCTTACTCTACACTTCTTCTCTTCCATCACAGTGAGGCTTTGAAGAGCGGAGGGATACTCCTGGCACAGAGTTACATTCACAAGGTCCTTCGCAGAGGACGGTATTTCATGAATGATCTACCTCGAGAACCCACAAGACTGAAGTTTCTGGCACGGATCGATGCAACAGAGACTTAAGCAAGGCATTTCTTAACAATTTTCTGCACAATTCTATCCTTGTGTTGGAAGGATTCACTGAAAAGCTTGAGTTTATCAGCCGACAGCGCTTTCCGAGCTCCGGCAGCCTCCGAGAACATCTTGCGACTTGGTCTTCCAGCGGCACCCGCTCCAACAAGTAAGCCTGCAATGGCAAAAGGAGCAGAAGCAGGATCATTGACAATATCGGCAACTGTAAGGGCTGCATTTCCAGCTTCGCCGATGACTAGAGCCACCCGGGCGATGGCAGCCACACCACCTATAGCCGCGGCTGCCTCACCAGCGAAAGGAATCACAGCAAAAACAATCGTGAGAATCATCATAATGAGCTTGTTCTTTTGTTTTTCTTCTGCTTCGGCACCGATTTTCTTGATAGTCTTCATCGATTCTGTGGCATCCTGCATCATGAAGACGGGCATACTAAACGAAGTGGCCACATCTCCGTAGTCTGCGTCAAGAGTGAACGTGCGCATTTCAAAATAGGTGGAAAGCATAGTAGTCGAGAGGGAGGTAATGTTTGGAATGGCCGCATCCACAACCTTCTTGGGATTGGGCACGTCGATGTCGTCATCGTCCTTGCGACGTGGGTAGTTGTAGTAAAGCTCTCCAGATAACATGCCGGGACTACACATCAGGCAAGGATCGCCAGGTATTGGGCAAGTACAGGGCTGTAGTATCTCGTGGGATTTTACCCATTTGATCCAGTCCTTCTGAATGCCGTACTCGTCGCTGAGGGCCTTGTAGAAGCCATCCTCGTCACGCATCTTCCAGGTGACATCCTGAATTCCCTTATCCGTTCCGCGTTGCTTTTCGGTGCATGGACCGGAGCCAGATGTAGCGGCAGACCTCCACTCGCAGTCCATGTATTTGGTGCCGTTACCAATCATAAATTTGTCAAGTGAGCCGTTGATACCGTCCTTTATCCATTGGGCGTAGTATTTGAACTCGATGTATGTTAGCTCACTGAACTATCTCGAATCTCAAACCCAAAGGGAGAGTGGGAATAAATACTACCTTTTCGTCATAGTCAGCAGAAGAAACCTCTTTATAGTCAGTCACTGCATCATTGACATGCTGGAGGAGAACGTGAACGACGGCTTGAGATTGACACTCCGCGTCGATCTTGTCCAAATTGTCGTTCAGTTCGTCCAATGTGTCAGGCCAATCGTCCGATGGGCAACCGTTGAAAGTTCTACCGGATAGAGATGAGCCCGAATCATCATCTGGATCCTCGCCATCATACCACTCGCCAAGGTCGACTGCCCAGTCGGACACACCACCAAAGTTGAGTCCTTCAACCCAGCTAATCCGGCTGCTTTTGGTGTCGTCATTCATGTACGCCACCCAGCTATGAGCCTCTTCGTTCTCGCCATAAACCATGATATCTGAGTCTGAGTCATCATCATGCCATGATTTAGCGTGATAGCCAGGATGCCCAAGCACTGCGTTATCGCTTAGAACCAGTAGCTCTGCGTTTGAAATGTAACCGCCAGTATTAGTACAGGAACCAACCTGGGCGGTGGACGTGTCGAAATCTCCGGTGAATTTGCACATCGGACCAGTGCAGCTAGGGTCCTTCATACCAAAGCTACGACCATAGCTCGCAATGCCCACGATTACCTTGTTAGCTGGCACGCCAGCCTTGGTGATCATGGCCAGTGCGTTGTGAGTCTCGGTCTTGTTGACATGGGAACGAAGACAATTTCCGCCGTTACATCCAGGGCTTGCGTATTGATTCCCGAAGTCTATAAAAAGTATTAGTAACCGTTTAGCTCTTGGAAGACACCTCGAGGTGTAAGAATGGAAAGAGACTATGGGAAACTCACCCCATTGGCCATGCAGGTCATATGTCATATAAATGAAGTAGTCGAGGTACTTGGCCATCTTCTCAACGGGGAATGGCTTGAGATACCAGTAAGATGCTGGCAAAGCAATAGACAAAGACTTGCCGCCCAACCTTTCCTTCATAAGCTTCAAGAATTCAAGGTAGCTCTCTGTCTCGCCTTCGCCGCCCGGAACTCCAGGGATATCGGTAGCCCCAGGGTACTCCCAGTCAAAATCAATGCCGTCAAGGTCATACTTCTTAACGAAATCGACGACGTGATTGGCAAACTTCTCACGGTTCCCTGGCTTGACAACGTCTTTGTAGCGCTGGAACGTTGCTGCGTCGGTAGACTCCGCCCACCCACCAAATGAGAGAATTTTTGACCACGAAGCATCCATCTTCGCAAAGGCATCGAATTGGTCCTTAAAGGCTTCATCAAAAGTGATCTCAAAATCCTCGCTAAGGCCAGCGAATGCAAAATGAACATGAGTCAGTTTGTCATCAGCTATCTCCCTAACGTCCATGTTGAGACAATCGCGCTTCACGTTGAATGCTTCAAAATAGGTGACACGGCGGAAAGCTTTTGGTTTATCATCATTACCAACAATTTCAGTTCCGCAATTAGAAATGCAGCCGCTAGTGCCAGTTTTAAATGCGCCAGGAGCGCCAGTATCGGCGGGAGATTCTGTACAGAACTCATCTGTCGTCCCACAGAATCCCCAGCCAGAACAGCAGGCTTTCAGAGGGCAAGGATTCAGCTTAGTAAGATTGAAGCCTGTAAATTGTCCCTCGGGCTTTTTAGTTCCTGGCTTTTGGGGACCACAGACAGCACTGCTGTACTCGGCCGGCATGGGGGTATTTCCTTTGCTTGCACAGATGACTTGATCCCTGTTCAGACGGGAGCAACCAGCCCATCCCCAGGTAGCTTTGTTGAAGTCCTCAATGTCTTTCTTGGTCAGACTGAATTGCGCTGCAATATCATTGCAGTTGTCGTTGTCTTGGATCGTATAAGTAGCGCATGTGCCGTCGGCTTGTGGTTTCGGTCTCATATCTGGCAAGGAGCCTGACGAACAGCAGACGTACTGCTTGGGCCTGAGACTAGAGCAGAGTCCTTTTTGGCTGTTGTATTTGGTGAAGTCATTGGCGGATATGCCACAGCGACTGGCAAGGGCACCACAGCTGTCGCCTGAACTAACTTGGATAGCCCTGCAGTCCCCGCGGGTAGTGAGGGTGTTGGAAAAAAGAGACATGACAGAAGATCGTTTGCTCTTCTTAGAGGCCTCCAAGGCACTTAGACTTATTTTCGAGGTCTTTGAGGTGGCAAGATTGACGCAATTGCCGCTAGCCCAGGTTCGAAGAGCAAGTTGAGCGTCGCGAAGTTTGTCCACAGAACTGGCGATAAATAGGCCAATGGTTCTAGCCTCTTGCGACTTTGCATCGCATATCTGGACAATCCGAGACCCATCTTCAACCTCCTCGGCTATTTGAAAGGGAGCCATGTATTAGTGAGATGTCCGATGAACGATGAACCAATCGAGTGCAAGGATAAATGGTAAAACCAAGGAAACATACTAGGCCATTCGTTAGTGCCTGAAAATCCAGGTCTTCAGTGGATGAACTTACCCAAAATGCGCAAGTGTCGATCTAACACCGCTTTGCAAAACATCTGCACCGGCATACATCGCAGCCACGGAGCTTCCATACTTGGAAAAGAGAATAGTTGATCCACAAGACGCAGCATTCGCCATGTAAGATGCCAGGTTTCTCACTGCAGTGACAGCATCTTTCTTAGATTCCAAGTCTCCAGCATTATCAGATTCAAGCAACACGTCGATTGTGTTTACGTTGGCACCGCAGGTTCCAGATTCGGCTAAATGCTGGTCCACAGCGTCGAGATCCTCTGCATTTATATTTGCCCAATTGGCCTGTGTTACCACCTTCATCGAAGCACGTTTGGGATATTCTTCGAGCAAAGAGCAAGAGGCCATGGCCATATCAACGTTTGGCTCATTTTGGATATTGAAGCCAAACAGAAGTGGTTTCTTACACTTCTCCAGGGAGTACAAGTTGTGAATCTGGGTCCAATTTGCAGGGTCAGACCCTACGATGATACAAGGTTGAGGGCATCCATGAACGAGGGGGGATGCAATAGGATCTTCGGCTTTCAGATCGCCCATGGGGGCGACTGGAGCCAAAGCCACATTTGAGGAGGCGTGTGTAAGAGAAGGAAAGATGTTGAATGAAAGGAAAGAAAGATAGGAAAAAGCGAGCGCCTTAGTGTTAGGCCTCATAATGAATGAATATCAAAGCCGGGCTGGCTAACGAGAGAATGAACGACAGATCTGTAATTTGAAGAAGTGTCACGACCTTAGCATTTTATTTATACAATAATCTTTGTCCAGGATTCCACCTTCTCCAGGCCCTACGAGTCATCTTCCTTCCTTCCCTAGGGTAGTATGTTCCAGCGTTTCATGTGCGTACCTGGATGTCAGTCAATCTCGTTTTGAACTAGGATGTACAGACTGTACCCTGTTGCTACAATTTACGGCCCTTCTGTGTTCAAGCTAGTAACACCCAGCATCAACCCCCTTGAGCAAGTTACATGATCAGAGGGCCAACCCACTTTTCACGATGGAAATATCAATCGAAAAAGGAAGCTCCGGGTCCCGATGATCAACCACAAATGCAAATTTCCGATGTTCCGATGTGCCTACTCGCTACTAGCGTATCTAGGTCCAAAAAGAAATCCCTCATAGTGGATTCGTTGTCAAGGCTGGTCACTTAGCTCGTTTGAAGTGGATTGAAATAACTCCGCCAAGACCACAAGCTCTCTTGCCAAGACAAGGCGAGGCTTCTCTTCCCTACTCGGTCTAGACCCGAAATAGTTAAACAGACGAGCGTAAATTTCTGAGAATTCCATCCTCTCCTGTTGCTTAGTTTTTGTTGCATTTCCCAAACACTGTCTTAGACTAATCTCTCTCCTCCCAGGGTGTTCTATGAAAGCCAAGACGCACAGCTCAAAATTTGGTAGAGCGGGAAGGCCCGAGACCCTTGTGGGTCCATTACCATAAGGTGTTCCGACAACCAAAGGTTTTGACGGACTTTCTTTCAGATCGGCTATGTTACTTCTTTGGGGTTGAGGAGGCTGAGGACGGATGAAACATCAAGGAGAAGCATGTTCAGCCCTGAATATCCTTGGTATTGTTACATATGTACCTGTCATAATTTCCGAGCATTTCAAGGATTCAGTACTCCGTAGTCTAAGTAGGAACACCATTTACTATATTATTCACCTTCCCCGTGTTTTACACGCCTTCTTTTCTATTTCTCCCATCTATAGAACGCGAATAGATTTACTACTATAATGTCTGGGCTACTCGTGCGAGTGCCTTGGGCCGCGCTGCTATTCTTATGGCTCTGTCTAGTCTCTCGATCTGACGCCGTCACCAAGGAGACGGCAAACATGTATTCTCATGCCTACGAAAGAATTTGGCTATGGGAGAGATACAATATGGCCATGTAAGTCTATCTCTTTCTCCCTTGTCCAAAATTCCCCGTTTCATGGCGCATGTGAAGAACGGGCCCAGGGGAAAGCTTGCTTAATGGACCCGTACGCAAAGATATGCCGGCGCGTTTTTGTCATTTACCCAAGAAGCTTATTACAGAATGCTAACTTATGTATATTCTCCACTTTAGTGCAATGGAAACAAAAGATAAAAAAGGAAAGATCATAAATCAGAAAGAGATCCTTCCCTATAGCGAGCAGAAAGGACAGGGCGAAAGGAACAACAGACACCTTGATGAAGCTACTGGAAAACGTGAGGGTTCTCTGCATTACAACGAGTTCATCCACCGACTTAGCGGCAGGCCACTCGTGCTCGAGGATCTCCCAAGCTTGACTGCTCCTTCCGGAGTGGACTCTCTTGAGCACGCCGCAGAAGAATTGGTTAGCAAGCGTCTAACTGAAAATTTGGCATTGGACCAGATTAATAAGGATAGTGGAAAGTCCACTGGTGGCGGGAGGAAAGGAGCTGGGAGAGGAGGAAGCAGCAGGCCACCTACCCCAGCAACCCCGGTATCGAGAGATGATGCAAGATACCAGCGCTTCTTCAGTGGGCTTAATACACAGTTGGAGAAGTGGCGCGGTGATTCTACAAACTACCCCAAGATCAAGGATCGCGATACCGTCATGAAAACGCTAAACGACCGTATCCATAATCTCCGGATTGAAGACGGTCATCGGTTCATCTATGAGCATTTCACCAAAGAGAACAAGAAAGGCGCCCTTGGTCTGAAGGACAAGGTCATGACTGACTACAAGGTATCTCTTGTTCCGGGCGGGCCTGACTATCAACGTCTCAACCTTGGAGAGACCTGGGCGTATTACGAAGACGACATCAAGAAAGCCATCGACAGGGAGACCGGTGGCAAGGTGAAAATTGCAAGCTATAAGGATTTCGAGGACTGGGTATGGTCAATTCCACTTTTTCACTGAATAAAGTCTTGTTCTAAGCTTCCCTACAGGTTACAGATTATGGCAACCCGGATGGACGCTTCGCAAAGGAGACCGCGGCCAACCCTTCACACTTCAAGACGCTTCAGATGTGGAAAGCTATCAAGCAATCAAATCCTTGTTAGTGAGGAGGATCTTGGAATCGGGTATATATGTTACGGGAATGCACCGTTTCTGTATAACCCATCTACATATGTATATGTATGTATTTCAATGTTGTTCCTCGATAGTTACTTATTTTCCCTTAGAATCACATATGCCAGTCTTCCGCGGCGATCCAGTTTAGAATTCGATTGGAATACAAGTTCAGATATTTTGTCTCATACTACATATGTATATCTAGTCGCTAAAATGTATACTATGAATCGCAAGTTCAACGTTGCCAATAGCTGGGAAGTATTTGCATACTTAGGTAGTCCAATTACCACCCAATATGCTAATTCTCGGTACTGAGGAAAATAAATACATGGGATGGGCACCAATTTCATGGTGGATCACCTCGGACAACTTCCTGACTTGGGAATTCCACTAACACGAGGGTGGCTAGTGCGTAGATCCGCGGAGTTTGTTTTTGCGCCCGGGAGGAGGCGGACCTCGGGAGGATCATGCGATGCGGCAACCTTGGAAGGCGCAACCCGAGAAAGCCCCTGGATGACCCAGGGAGCAAATGCTCAACATATTTACTTTCTTGAGAAACTCCAGTGTGTACGGTCACGTGACTGGTGAGGGATTTCGTCCACAGGCCAGTCGGAACTTATTCAGTTGAAGTTCTATTGAGACCTTCCAATATGTGCGACAGCGAGAGTCAAAGCGGCTCAGATATCTCACAGCCAAGCACCGACGCGACAAACGAGCACCTATACAATTATGACCAATGCATCGCCGCGCTCGAGGGAACGAGGGTTCCAGATGACCTCACCTCTGCCACTGCACGATGTGCAGTAATTCGAGGACTGCGCTGCTCCTACGATTTCACAATGAACCCAGTCATGATAGACCTGTGTGGCTCGTCGCGATTTCCCGAGTTTACTCGAGCACGCAACGCCCGGCTCATCATGAGCAATGTCGTTCCTGACGGTCTAGAAATCACTGAAGCCCAGCCCTATTGTATCTGGAACCCGGATTTTGCCGAAGAGGACACTTATCGCCGAGTCGCTCAACGGTATCCCTCTATGCGCTATCAGGTCGGCCGGGCTTCTGCTGCTGCCGGCTATATAAACCTCTATCGGGAGCTTAACCTGCTCCCTGATGTCTCTATCGCCGAAGAGGCTCGGGAGGGAAATACGGAAGGGGGGAATCAGATATACCAGTTGATCATGTCCTCGCCTCTGAAATATGCGGTGATGGACGATTTCGAACGCTCAATAAACTCAGAGAATCCTCCAGCACCCGCCTTTCTAAATGGCGACACGCATGTTCGGTGGAAGTTAGAATGGCGGTTCACGCTTGAAGAAGATTCTATTGAGGAGTTTTTACCTGAGGAGATTGATATTGAAGAGGATCGATACATGGGCCTCGAATATAGCGAGCCAGATCAGTCTCGCTACGATAATTTTACCCCGCAAGAGGCCACACTACTTTGGGAGCCTCTGCCTCTTGACCTACCAACGCTGAAGAAGGATCTGTTACGACAGATGGCCGCCTACGAAGGGAATTTGGATCGATATAACCGACTCATGAACTCCCGATCTCGGAAGGAAATGGGCGAGACCGAAGCCCGTTGCGTTGTTCGTGGTATTTATCATAACACGATGTTTGCTCGGTGGTGGCAGCACAATCTTGATACCGACGCTGTCAGACTCAAGGATGCTGATTGGTACGATGTTCAAACGGCCATCAACGCCCGGCGTGTCATGATTAATGACATTGGAACATTCACCGAAGACACCCCCTGTAAGCCTTGGCTGATATGGTGGCCTCTCAAACCGGAGCTATCTGCACTGATAAATCTTGCCAAGAGATGCCCTTCCATGCACGTGCAGATCGCCATCGCCGCTATCTACTGCGACTACCGTGGTCTGTATGAATCTCTCAATGTTCGGCCCAGCGCTGGCCCCACCGAGGCCGCAGAGCAAGTTGGCAATTCTTTCTACAGAGAGGATCTGGAAAAGCGCGCGAAAGAGTTGGGAATAAATCCCGCTAATGAAGAACCAGTGATCTATTCCGGGGACGAGACCCATGCAACTTTAGCCCTTGATATGGAGCCCACCGGGGTCGGTGTCTATACTCGCCTCCGCGCAGATCTTATGGACCAGCGATTCGAAGGATATTATACACGCCGCATACCGTTTGGGGGCTATGTTGAAAGATATGTCTGGCTTTCATTTGAAACAATTCGTAAGATTGTTTGCGAATACGGACCGGACGGATATTTCATAGGCAATGATACTCGCTGGTTCGAGACACACGAAATCTCGAAAGATGAGAATGGGAATGATATCATGTACGACAGCGATGAGGAGAAACCGGAGGGTGACGACTCAAGTTCCAAACAAACGAACTAAAATATTGCATCCGCGCGAATCCACGGTTGATAGCAGGCAATGCATTGAAAGATCACCAAGGAGACGACCTGAGTCCCATCTTTTCTCTCATAAATGTAACCACAATAGAGTAGATTCCATAGATGAAGTTCTAAAAAACCGATAGCTTCTGAAAGTGACTACATGTATGCAACTAGTACCTATCTAGGTATGTAGGTATATACGTCAATACTGACTCATTTATTCCATAATCTCAAGGGTATCGGCAATGGTAAACTTGGCATCCGTCTTACTCTGCACCTCTTCTACCTCAACACCTGGAGCAAGTTCCGTCAGTGTGAGCTCTCCAGTAGCACGGTCGACCTGGAAGACACACTGTACCTTTGTCAGTCTTGTTTGAACTCAACTGGGATCGGCACTTACCAGGTCTGTGATGATAGTGCTGACAACATTGGCACCAGTCAACGGCAGACTGCACTTTTGTACAATCTTAGGAGATCCATCCTTGGCGACGTGGCTCGTGGCCACTACGATCTTGGTCTTCTCCGGGTTCGAGATCAAATCCATTGCTCCTCCCATACCCTTGAATACCTTGCCGGGGATCATATAGTTGGCCAGGTCACCGTTGGCACTCACTTGCAGAGCGCCAAGAATAGACACATCTACATGACCTCCGCGGATCATACCAAATGACTCGGTGCTATCGAATGTAGCAGCTCCAGGAACCAAGGTCACGGTTTCCTTTCCGGCATTGATGATGTCGCTGGTCTGAGTTAGTGAGAGTTCGGGTCAACACATCTAGGAACAGCTTACGGATCCAATTCTTGCTCGGTGGGATAATCACCCTGAAATTTTGTTAGACCAGGCCGTGGAAAAGACTGAAAAACTTACCATTCCCAAGATGCCATTCTCCGACTGAATCCAAACCTTCACATCTTTTGGCAGGAACGACGGTGCCAACGTAGGAATACCGACACCCAGATTCACATAGAATCCCGGCTTAAGCTCCTTGGCTGCCCGACGAGCAATGAGCTCTCTTTGAATCCGAGCCTCATCTTTACCTGATCCAGCTACGGTGGCCTGGCCCGAGCGCAACTTCCTGATTTCAATGTGCTTGTCATCCGTGGCAGGGACGATCCGATCGACGAAGATACCCGGTAGGTCCACATCATTGGGATCAATGGAACCGACTGGGACAATGTTCTCGGCCTCCACGATGGTCAGGACTGCGGCCTTGGCCATTATAGGACCAAATGCTTTGGTAGTATATCTAATCGATGTCAGTATCCAGATTCCGGGACCTACTGGTACATATACTCACCGGAACACGCAATTACCAGCCTCATCCACTTTCCAGGCTCTGAGAATAGCTACATCTCCAGTCAAGGCTTCTTCCATGAGGTATGTCTTGCCGTTGAATTCCCGGGTCTCGCGCGGCTTGCCAGACTCCAGAACTTTACCGGACTCATCCATGCGAACAGGGATCTTTCCCTCCTGGATAAAGGTATCTTCGCTTGTCAGCGGCGAACATAGTCTGAGATGATCTATACATACGGACTCCCGTTGGGGTAAAGAACGCCGGAATCCCAGCACCCCCAGCACGGAGACGTTCAGCCAAAGTACCTTGCGGACAAAGTTCAATGGCAATATGTCCACTCAAATACTTCTTCTCCAATGCTTTATTGTTCCCGAGGTATGAAAGTATCATACGGTTGATCTGGCCATTCTGCGAGAGTGTTGAAAGGCCTCCCTTGCCCGCGGAGCCGGCATTGTTCGAAACGGCTGTCAGGGAGTGCAATTGATCAGCGCCTCGGCGGCGCATAGCATTGATGAGGGTTTCTATACTAGGTATTAGCTTCGCTATTCTCGCATTGGTTGTTCCACGTACCTGCAACTCCGCAGAGACCGAACCCAGAGCTAAGGATTGTCGATCCGCTCTTGATATCGGCGACAGCGCCATCGGCATCTTTGTATAGCTTCGAGCTGCTGCGCTCGACCTTAGCGGCGAGTGATTGTAATGGCGCGGTTATGGAGTATCTAGTGCTGGTGCTGGTACTGAATGGCTGGAAGGGGCGCACGCTAGCGCGGACTCCGAGGAAGAGTCGAGGTCGACAGGCAGCGAGCGCTTTGCGCGACAAAGTATTAGAGATTCTAAGAGCCGTCATATCTTATAATTGTTTAGACAAAAAAAAAACAAAGCAAAGCAAAAATGAAACCATCGCGCAGTTAAAACATTGATGCCGTCGGCTAGTCGGGGCGGGGCTACTTCTGGATGCCGAGGGGCCACATGCGGAAGCCCTCCGAGCTCAACTTGGATCTTCTTCTGATCTTCTACCTATTCTGCTCTTCTTCTACGGAATATTAATTTCGAATCGGATTGCACAGCTTGACATGAAACAAGTGTAACATTCTTATTAGTCTGTTATGAATGGAAAAAAAGAAAGGCAATCACCTTGAATAAACCCTATACATACATAGAATACCAAATATGACCCTCGATTTTCGACTCGAGCTCTTTTGATCGCTTCGCGGGGAGCAAATTTTCTAACTCCCAAGGCCGTGCCGTCCCCATGCTGGGGTTTCTTTTCAGGTTCTCTTTGCTCTGCTTGCTCTCGCGGACAGCACCTTCGATTCCGCTCTCGCCTAGCATAGCAGTTCCAGCTGGGGCTGGAGCCAGGGCGCTCCTGTCAAGGACCATGGTGTTGTTTTCTTTGAGGTGGTTTTTTTGGCCCCGGTTCTAAGGGCCCTAGTGGATTACATCTTGACGTTTACTTTCTATTGTTACTACGGAGATGCATCGGGGCCTGTAGTACATAGATCTACAAGCATCTCGGGGCAATCAGTACCTTATATTTGATATGGTGAACGAAAGAGTATAAAAATATTCCTTGGGGATATATACAGGCTGGTAGTATGAATATGTTCAGAAAAACGAAAGTTTGGTCAATAAGCGCAAGGGGGAAAGAAACATGGGTATGCAAATATCCGCCTTTTGGTCCTACTCAAAATTGAAATCCGGGTTGGCAAAGTCAAGCCAATCCCAATTAAGCATGTCATCAAGAGGTACATCTGGGATCGACGCACCAAACGCTGTGCCCGCTCGGTTGACTGCGTCAACGATCTGATTATCAGACATGGCAGAGAACTGCAATGGCTCAAGCCAGAGATCCTGGGGTGGTAGTGTTACCGGCAGCGAGCCATTATCCAGACATGCAGACGGAAATTTCGGCTCGGGTGGGTCGACTTCGCCTGGATTTCCTCGAGATTGTAGAGGCAAGACTGGTGCACGCCGGGTCAACTCACGCAAGAATCTCCCGTAGAGCACAGAGGCGCCGCTTCGGTGACTCGGTGTTGCTCCGATTCTCTCTAGGACACCAGCGGTCTCTTCGATGAGATTTCGGACGCTTGGTGCCAAACTGGAGTTGCTGTCGCCGGGTGTTACGCTGAGGCTAAGGGCAGAGCATGCGGCAAAGGAGATCATTATGACGGTATTGTTTGGCATTGATTTCAGCCGAGATTCGCCCTGGATAGCTGCTCGCAGGACGTTCAATGCAGACGATAGACCAGCGGCTCGGAAGAATCTTTTGACTTCGATTGGAGCTGTTGGGTGATTGATGACACCACCGTAGGTGGACAATTGAGTATGCGTGACAAGGATCTCGACATATGGGGGTAACGAGCGTGCTTTAAGTGATTAATATATAGTCCATCAATTTTAGGTATTAGGCTTACTGTCTCCTTCGCCAATTGCCAAGGCCCATGTTGCATACCATCGCTCATAGAAGGTTTGGATGGTCTTTTTAATCCTATGATATGGTCAGTATATAATGATATTCACCAGAGGCATGTTATCATACAACTGAGCAGCTTCCGAGCCGGTATCGACGATGCGATAGCTATCACAGCTTGACTTAACTTTTTGGAAGAGTCCATCCTAAAACCGTTAGTTAGAATGAAATTTAATAGTATAGTACGGGTATTTTAATGCAACTTAGGGAGGGATTTGGGATGGCACTTACAAGGTCCCTTCGAAGAACTGCCATGGAATTCATAGGACCATCACGCGGGTCTGCAATGCTGGATAGGTGCCAACGATCGCAGTTTTCGATTAGCGTCGTTGAAGGAACGGTATAGCTTCGTCCACGCGCAAGACAGACACTAAGCAAGTTAGTGTCAGGTCGAGGGGGCACTCCTGGAAGAATCAAACATACCCCCTCTCAACGACATACAACGCAATCCAAGCTCTTTCACGTCTTCGCAACAGTCTAAGGCCCCACTCTGAAGACGGATCAATATCATCAAATCCATCCATGTGTAAAGCCCGCTTGGCGTCGATACACTCTGCTCGTGCCAGACGATCCATGAGTTCCTGATCAAAGCTTGAGGAAGGCGACACAATCTTATTCAAAGATAAGTCTAGAGCAACTGTGAGAGCCATGGCAATATAGGAGCAAGTATCATCGTCCCCTAGTCTATCACCAGGGGACATCCATGGAACGTTCGCCATGAAAGCCAGAACAATCTCAACAGACCTGTGGCGGTGTGTGATCACTCGCTTCGCGAGCCATTTGCAATGCCTCGATAGTCTCTTGGATAAAGCAGCAGCAGACGGCAAAAATAGGGCTGCGCCTGCCATTATCGAGGTAAAAAGAAAAGCCGACTGTGACCGTACGAAGTACGGGGTGTGTACCAAAGGATCGAGGCCCCATCGAGTATGTGCGAGATTTTGGTAGAAGCTTGATTTGTCAGTTGTACATGTTGAGCAATAAGAGGCAGCCCACTCACAATGAGAACAAAGACTCAGACTCATCAAATGTGACCAAGCCTAAATCAATAGGGTCAATTTCAGGTCCAATGTCCAAATTTGCCCTCGTAGGAACAAAAAAGGATTTGGCGCCCGGTTCTCCTTGGGGGGTGCTCTGAAAGAACGACGGGCCCTCTGACAACGGCACTGGAGGCTTTGGCGCACGCCGCATCCCGGTTGGCAAAAGCTGAAGGTCCGAAGCTCTAGCAAGCAGCTGGAGGGGATTTTCTGCATCGTCAAGAGTAAGACTCTCCTCCGCATGAATATCACGTGGAGGTGTCATGCGCGGGTGGTCTGATGCCTCTGAAAAGCCAAGCTCATGCTCATTCTGCATTAACTGGCCCTGTACTCGACCGAGGAGTTCCTGGAGGACCGAAATTGCCCTTTGGGCCTCATCGTCACCAGTAGAGTCGACCTTGGGCCGCTTGATTGCCTGCTCGATCTGATGTATAGCTTTCTCCAGGCCCTTGCGCTTACTACATCCCAGTCAGTATTCCATTCCAGAATTACTTGATTTAACTCACTTTTTAACGCCCTTTTGTCGGCCCAGATGATGGTTGGGCACAATACACTCTGCATTAGCCTGCTTACATTTCTCGCAGCTGGACTCGCCTGCCAGGCGGTTGCAACGAATCTTGCTCCGCCGACAGTTCAAGCATGCAGCTTGTTTTCCATGTGGACTAGAGGCTGAAACTGCCGACTCGACCTCCATGAGTAAGTGTTTTGACCTCGGCCATGGACCCCAGTGGGAGATGAGGAGTCGGGGATGATGACTAGTGACCTTTTCGGCTAATGTAACACTTAAGGCAACCTTTTCCAACAGCCCGGCCGGGCTAGCTCAATCGGTAGAGCGTAAGACTCTTAATCTTAAGGCTGCGGGTTCGACCCCCGCGTTCGGCTATTCCTAAAAACCAAACCTGAGATTTCTTTTTCCCTTTTTTTTTGCCTTTGGTTTTGGATTTATTTATGATGATAAAGGATCAGTCGTCCTTCCGTAAGCTTTAGTGCGACACTAAATAAAAGGTCGCTGCCAGTGAATACAATACTACATGGCGCATGAACAATAGACAGAGAGCCAGCTTTTATAGTTATATATCTAAATAATGTTGGTTTAATCCGATTATATATTTTCTACTTCTACGTGAATTTGCAGTACAGAGTCAATATCACGTATATCTTAAATATTTTCTTATTTAGTCGCCATTATTATAGTTAGGTATAGTCTATCTGAATGATAGAAGATAAGCGATAACCTACCTCCATTACCGAGGGCGCTATATTTACTATATCTGAATACACTAGTAGTAGCACACGTTACGCACCTAAGATCCTATTAAGGCGTCTCTAGGTTAGCACCTTATATTAAGGGCTCTAATATAGTCAAAGGGCTAGTAAATAATAACGGGTTATCGTTGTTCCTGGTAGAGTGTACGGTACGGAGCATTGTTTATCTAGGTCAGAGAGGTACCACCACCATCGTCACCCGTCACATACATAAAATAACCCTCGCACGCACTATGACCCTTCGAGCTATCAACGCGTTTCTGCGATCTTACAGTATCAGACCATTTATACTCGCACTTCCCTATCAACAGACTCGGCACTTCATTTCACACACACACAGATATATTGCAACACACATGGAACCCAGCAGAGTCCAGTACGAATTTGTGGAAGAAGTTGAGCGCTTGGACTATTATGTTCCTGGAGGTTACCATCCAGTCATGATTGGAGACGAACTTTTGTTCAGGTCGATGTATTATTGCTCATAAACTTGGGTTCGTCGATCTGTCACAACCTGGCTGGCGGAGGATAGAAGGCAAAGCCGACTTGTTGCTCTTAAGATTACTACCGCAGAATCGGCTGAGCGAACTGACGAGATACGGATTCTTTCACAGTTAGCTATCGCTAAATCCGAGCTCTCTGGGCGGGCTATCCTACAGAAATTGCTTGATTCTTTACATTCCCTGGGCCAAATGGCACGCATCGGTGTTTGGTCACGGATGCTGCTAAGATCCCATCCATGAAGCGAAGGATGCTGCATACCACCGACTTCCCCGTCTCCCTGCCGCTCGAGCCATTGCGTCGCAGCTTATACTTGGTCTGCAATTTACCCATTCTCAAGGCATCATTCACGGCGGTATGTTTGGCATGCTACAATCTCTCATACAAGAGTATGGGTTCCATTCTAAATGTGCCTGCAGACCTTCACCTTGCAAATATTCTCCTTCGCTTGCCATTAGATATGAAAGCCATGACACTTGAGCAGCTGCATGCTAGAACCAGCGAACCAGCCAAAGAGCAGGTTGTTCGTAAGAATGGCGCACCCCTGGATGGAGTAGTTCCTTCAGAAATCATTGTCCCAGTTTGGCTCGGGCTTGGTAGTGATGAGATTTCCCTGGCGGACTCTGCCATTATGATTGAGATTTTGGAGAAGCCTATGATCCTCAAGTGACAAAGCAGTTCGCCGCTCATACACCACTCTTGCTTGCATCACCGGAATCACGCTTCGCAGAGTCTGTAGAACCCGATGAGCCTCTTTCTTTCCCGGGGGATATATGGACACTTGCATGCACTATCTGGGATGTCTTTGGATCTGGCCCGCCTTTTGAAGCCTTCCCTATCACATTGAATGACGTTACAATCGAACATATTGAGATGCTTGGTAAACTCCCTGGTCGATGGTGGAGCACGTGGGAGAAAGAAGTAACTGGTTCGACGATGATGGACGCAAGAATGTGAAAGAAACTCTTCGTCAGTGGCACAGCAATGGCACCAGAGACTGGACCCGGCGGTACTCGGAAAAGATACAGCACCCAAGGGAGAGGAAGAGGTTTGATACCTTTTCGGCTGAGGAGGAGAATGCGTTCTGTGACATGATGAAGTCGATGTTGGTCCTTGAGCCAAGCAAGAGGGCCACGGTTGAGGACATAGTGGGATGCGAATGGATGCAAAAATGGGGCCTGCCAGAGGTGCAGAGAATGCAGTATGCGACAATGAAGTGCTCTTGACCTCCAAGATACCCCCTCTATTGATATAAAAGGAATTGCAATAGACCATTACTCAGTTCTCTGATAGCTGGCAATACGACTGATCGATTGACTGCGCTTTCTTGCTCTCTTTTCGCCGACAAAATTGCCCGGTTCGGACTTCCGGCGGCAGATCGACATCGAGATGGGTCCAGGTCCTTTTGAGGTATGTCCAATCAGGCAGGTGGCCGGCTTCAATTATTAACACCCATCCCTGTACTTTCAGAACGGAATTCATTCCACATTCAACTGTTGTATGCTTTGGCAATGACTGAACGACTAGCCAGACAACGAAAAGATTTGAATGTGTTAAGGTATATTTGTCAGCCAGGTGTTGCCAACACGGCAACTTCCGCACAAAAACATTGCCATAGTGTGGTCTGGTTGTCCCCTGCTCTGTCATGCTTCGTCAATGGTCTCGTACGCATTTATTTCTTCTTCTTCCCCTCCCCCTCCAAGGATTATGAATTTCACCTCCAAACCCTCTGATCTTGCGTCGAAATGGACATGCGGGAGAACTCAGAATGTATATCCCACCCCAATGCACTTCCTGCGAGTGGAGATGAGAAGGATGGTTCGTCCGAGTCGCAAAACAACACCGCTGGCCACAAATAGATAATGCACCAAACAATGTCAGAGAGACTCTTTTCATGATTGCCATCACCTTGACCGAACTGGTTCAGATGATCCCACTCGGCGCCGGCATAAATTCAGGTCTTTCAATTGGGAAGTCGCTAGGTGCGACAAATGTCCAGTGTGTATGGATTGTTGCATCGTACCCTCTAACCCAAGGAGCATTCGTTCTTATCGGTAAGCGTTTCCTTTCATCACGCACTTAACTAAACTAAGGCATTCTCTTATGAGGCAGCCGCCTGGGAGCTGTATATGGTCATAAGAATATATTCTCGATTGGTTGTATCTGGTGGGTTGTTTGGGCCCTATGTGGAGGATTCGAAACAACTTGGTATCCATCTGCTTTATGAGAGGGCTGTGTGGAGTTGGAGGTGGTCTGATGATTCCGAACATTGTGGCATTTCTAGGCATCACCTTCCCACCTGGAAGGAAGCGGAACCTTGGTTTCGCACTATTCGGAGCAATGGCGCCTGTCGGTGCGGCGGGTGGTTCTCTGGTCTCTGCAGTTATCGTCCAGCTGACGGAGTGGAAATACTTGTTCTTTATGCAGTGAGAACGAATTCCTCCGGAATGGAAGGTCTATTTGCTAACATTCTCCTTTCAAGTGGGCTATTAGGGCTTGTTGTTTATGGGACTGCGATTATCTCTGTCCCTCCGGATGAGTCTGTGGATCCGAATGGTCCAGTCGATTGGATTGGAGCTTACCTAGGAGTCGGCGGTCTTATTTTGTTCAATTTTGTGTGGAAGTAAGTTCTACCAAACGGAAATTATATGAAACTGAAGTCTCATACGTTTGCAGCCAAGCTCCTCTGTTGGGTGGACTAGCTCCTACGAGATCGCCCTTCTGATCCTATCGATCATTCACTTCGGTGCCTTTTCCTACTGGGAAATGAAGATGGCTAAGGAGCCGATACTACCGTTTAACATATGGAAAGCACCTCCTTTCGGCTTTCTTATGCTCACTATATTCTTCTCATTCATGAGTTGGGTATCTACTTTTGGTATATGAATGTGTATATGATTACCATTCGCGGAGACAGCCTCATCAAGGTCGGGGTTCAGTATCTTCCTCTGACAATTGTGGGTTGTGCAAATGCATTTTTCGCAGCATGGCTGGTCCCGCGAGTTCCCGCTCAAGTGATCATCAGCATAGGTTGTTTGGCAATGACCGCCATTAATATTTTATCGGCCACTATTCCAGAACACCTAACATATTGGGCAATGGCTTTCCCAGCCATATTTCTGTCCGCTTTCACAATCGATTTGATTGTCACAAGCGCTCAAATCATTACTAGTAACACAGTATCAATCAAGCATCAGGGTGTTGCGGGGTCCTTAGTCGGAACGTTACTCAGCTACGGCATGAGCACCGGCCTTGGCTTTGCCGGTACCGTAGAGGTAAACACATTTGATGATGGGAGGGATCTCCTCGAAGGTTATCATTGTGCTGCTTATCTACCTGTGGGCTTAGCTGTCGCTTCTCTAAATGGTATTCATCCGCATCCCTAAAGATACACGGGAGGGCTGGAATGAGGCAGATGCGGCAGAATAAGACCTTCAATACAGATTATGTGTGATTTAGGAACGGAGACCATTCCCATTTCAAACGATATACATAACGGTTTGGGAATAAGACTAAACCATCAAATGGAATTCCGTAGAAAATCGTTTTGACGGACCTGAAAAGCAGGCCGGTATCAAAATGTAACTACCATCTGATGACTTCGTGGGGAAGTACTCATTAGTGAGCTCCATGTAGTAAGGCTACTACTTAGGTTAGCATATGTCGCGGGCTGAGTTTGTTTGTGTGTCTTCACAGGTGCGTCTGCCTCCTCCCCACTCAAACCCTGCTAAGCTCGAGATAATATCAGAGACGTATTTTAGATGTTAGATATCCTCTATGCTTAATCTCTTGATCTTTATATGGTTATGCACGTATACGGATAATGAGTAGGTGGTATCAATTAAAGATTAGTAGCTAAGTACAAAGCCCCAAACAACCAGGCCGTTCGTCTTTTCGTTACCTATTAATGGACGATGAATATAGATCGAATCAAACAAACCAAAGGATCACATATATATCTTTAATCAAGCATAGCGAACGGGACCAGTCTCCTCGTCATGCCCCGCTGGCAAAGCACCAGATGCCTGTGAAACAGCATGCGGCTGAGCTTGAGAGACAGGAACCTGACTCATCTCAGGACCAGCAGCCGGAACACCTTCCGCTGACGCAGCCCGCGAAGGCGCATTGGTACCGGGAGGAGTAGCATCCAACAAACGCGGACCAGACTGATCGGGCCTCTTGCTTGCCTTGACAAGTGCAGGCGCCGGGCCCAAAACAGTCGGGTACTTGAAGCGGAAACCCCAGGCGAAGAACAAGCCCATCTTCGTCCAGAAACCCATCGCATCCCACCTCTTCTGGAGGATCGCGGCGTCCTCTTTGCTGCGGGCCCGGTATCCCTTGCGGAAACAAAACAGACAGAAAAGAGAAAGAGGGAGCAAAATAAATGACCAGAAAAGAGGGAGACCACGACGGGTCTGCCAGCCCGTCATGAGGCGACGGAATCGCACCCAGGCCTCGATCATGCCCAGGATGAAAACTATGCCGATCCAGCCCAGCAAGCAGATCAATACAATCGCGAGGTAGGAGATGCCGAGACCGGATCCCCATTTGCTGGTGAACCAGTTGTCGTCGTCATAGTAGCCATAGCCATAGTAGTAGCCACCGTTGGATGATCCGTCGGTTTCTCCTGGTCCGTCGGACAAGCCAGTGTAGTATCCGGAGTTGCCGTTATAAGAGCTGCGGCCTGTGTACTGGCACCCGGCACCTAAGTACCGAGAGGTGGGAGTGTTGTAGGAGCTCAGAGAGCTCAGAGTCCTGCTGGGGATTTGAGTGGGTTCCACGAACACCACCTCGTAGATGTAGGTGGTCGGCTGGAATGCCTGGCCGCTGTCGACCGAGGTCGAACTTATAACATTATCCCTGGGCAGCAAGGTCGCGATCTCATAGGGAGGGGTGACCACGACAGCGGTCGTGGTCGTCCATTGGGTAGAGCAGGCCGTCGGGGCCGAGAAAGTCAGGTTGACCTTGTAGATGGTACTATGATAGTTTCCATCACTATCCATAACGTTATGGTAGCCATAGTCATCGTATAAGTCGCGCTCCTCGCCATAGCCAGTGGGATACAGCTTTTGGACAACGGTGTAGTCATAGATGGTGTCGGTGGAAGTAGCGGTGGACAGGGCCTCGGTTGGCAAAGTTGCAGTTGGAGAGATTTGATGGACCTCAGTGACTAAATCGGAATAGTAATCTGTAACAACCTCTTGCTCATAGGTATCTGTCACAATCCAAGGGGCAGCCTGAACGAATGGGCTCAAAACGAATGACAAGAAAAGAATAAACGAGTGTGGAGGCGCCATCTTGAATGGTCCTGGAGATTTGCAGGGAAAATAATCAGGAACGAGGCGTCCATGGATTTATAAAAAAAAGAAACGCTAGATAACGCCTCTAGAAGACCCTGACTTTTCATTTTGGGGGCGCTTTTTGTCGCCTAAGCTATACTGGTTTATCCTTGGGTGGAAATCGTCTGCATTTGAGTAGGCAGATGCCCGGGTGTGATTGGTGATGTTCCTCAATTTGCCAGGGCTAAGCGGAGGGTCTAGTCTGTTTGGGATCTAGTAAGAGGCCCTAGACTTTTCGCCTCATGCATTTACCGAACT